AAATATGTCATCTTTGTTTGTCTCATACAGGTAACAGATTCATTGTCCTTTATTAGCTATAACCGATGTTGCCAAATGGTGAAATAGAAACGAATTCCTTTAAATGTTGAATGCATTATTTCATTCCTCTTTTTTAAGTATTCAAATAATTTTTTAAAGAAAAAGGTTGAAATGATAAGTTTAAAATGTGTTGTTTTAGAGCTCTTTTATGAAAACTACCCAATTTTCGTCAGCAAGAACATTCCCCATTATGTCACTGTTCATATTTGAAACTGTACATCTAAAGTTGTATAATGTCAATATTTGGACACTTTAATTCTTACTACATTTATTACATGTTTTATTACAAATTCAAAATTAAAATAGAAAGAATAGATATAATCGTGTATTTCCTACTCACATATTCTTCTCCCAAATTAAGCAAATGATCTTTAGCTTCAATAACATTTTCTTCTTGACCAGATATGATAACCAAATTTGGGTCTGGATCATCGCTTCTTGGAAACTTGATGTCAACATTGTAATCTTCCATTATTTTTCGGATGTTTCTACCACGGGCTCCTATAAGGCGTGAATGGACACGAGAGTCTATACTGATCTCTTCCTTAACCAAATCATTCAATTCATTCACAATCTTCATAATATCTTCCCTGGCACGGTAGGTATTTTCCTCATAACCAGTAATTGTAATTATGTGTTCATCAGGATCGCCTGTTGATTATAAAAAGAATATAAATTAAATACATTAAAACAAATAAAATTTTGACAGTACAATTAAAATCTCAAGATACTTCAACATAATGTTCAAATATACTTTTGATAATAAACCAACATATATGACATCTGTTCAACTTCAATTTCTAGTCAAAGATTCGAAATAATACAGGTGTTCTTGTACACAAAAAATACAGTAGTAGAAACTTGAGATATTTCATATAGAATTCCTGGTATGGAATAGGTTCCTCAAGCATTTCTGCTTGATGAATTTATAGTATGGCGAAATACGTGTCTCAGTTTTTGAAAATCTTAGAATAAACTGTATTAATAAATTTTCAAATTGATAGTAGAGTAACGCAATAATTCAATTTAATTCAAATTGGTGAACATCATCAAAAATTAACCCTTTTAAGTCTAGGTGGCAAATTTTTACATGGGAAATTTCAGAAATATTTTGGAGCACTCAATCCAAACATCCAAATAACAATCTGTTTTTCCGTTAATCAACTGTCGCCCC